CCCCCCGCTTTAACTATATATCGATAGAGATGCACGAATAGACTTTAGCAAGATTGGTATGCGCATCATACGTTGCTTGTTATTGTTGCACGTTGTCCTGTCTCATGGTTAAATATTTTCTATTTTTGACAATGAACCTAGTTAGTTGACTGAACAATCTGTCAAACTAATTTACATAGTGATACGTGCGTTGATGTACATAGCTTATCATAAGTTGGCCACAAATCCCCAAAATCAAGGCCATCCTAAGGACGCAAATTACAGCTGTGCATGGAATGATTTAATTCGAATTCAGTACATATGTTGAAAATCAAAATCCATGATACACTAGTACATCATTTTGTTTTGTTTTTTGATAAAAAAAAATGCGACCGTTTTCCAGAGCCATATGTCTGCCTTGCCTTGACTATTTTTTTTTAATTTGTCCTTTGCACCTGTACAATATCCTACCTTGCCTTGTAACAATTGAATCTCTCTTCTGTAATCTTCAATGGCACCATTTAACTTTTTGTTTTCATCGGCCAGTCCCGAAGTGTATCCAGTGTCTTGTCGCATCTGGATTTGTAACTCCTGTAACTAGATTCACATAAAAAATAATACATTAACGTCTCACGTTTGGAATAGAAAATAAATCTAAAAACAATTAATTTGAAGAGTAATGTTTACTTCATTGAATTCATTCAAATATAACACTTACGTTCTTTGCGTATTGAGCCTCCGATTCCTTCTTATATTTCTGCAAGTCAGCATCGGCCGTCTCACGTACTCTAGCCAGTATTACTTGTAATGAGTTGTCACTATGACCCATCTGTTTTAATTTTCCTTCCAGCATCAGTATTTGTTTACCTTTGTTATCAAGGCGACTCTTCAATTCAGCAACTTCCTAAATCATCAAATAAAATCATCAAGTACTGACATTAAATCATTTTGTTTTATTAGCCATGCAAATTTATTCAAAGAACACGTACTGACATCTACAATAATTGCATATGATGATCACGTATGGTTTGTTTGTTGTATTAGCCATTTAAACGACACGTACTTTGGACCATTTCGTTATCTCCAAATTATTGACACTGTTAAAGCGAGGGACTCGTCACCTGCGCATGCGTCAGATGACCATAGCGTGGCATTGTTTACAAACAAGCGTTTGCCCATGAGCCTTTGCGTTTTTAGCGTGTGTTGTTATCGTCGCTTGGAACGTGGGCGT